AGATTAGATTTGGGGGGGGGGGGGAATTGCTGGAACAGCCTGGTGGCCGGGAGCCCCATGGTACTTCCCGGGCCAGGCTGGCAGTAGGGGAGGTGGGGAGCAGCGAGGGATGTGGGCCACTCAGCTGCTTCTCCTCACTGGTGCTGACCCGACCAGGCCAGTCTCATCCCAAGTAGCACTCAGCAAAGCAGTGGCTGGGCCAGCTTTCCTGCATGCCACTCAGATGGGACAGGCCCGGTCAGCATGGGCAAGGAGAAAGAGGAGGGTCAGTCAACTGAGCTGAGTGCTGCTCGGGACCAGCCTGGTCGAGCCAGAGCGGTACGCCGCTCAGTCCTGCCTTCCTTTACATCTGCTGGCTGGTCCCAGGAGGCACGCGGCTCAGCCACTGCTTCTCCTTGTTGGTGCCCTCCTGGCTTAGGCCCAGGCCATCCTTAGTGGCACATGGGAAAGCAGCGGCTGAGCCGGCTTTGCTGTGTGCCACTCGGGTCAGGATGGGCCTGGCTGGGTTGGCAACAGCAAAGAGAAGTGGCAGCTGAGCCGTGTGCTGCTTGGGACTTGCTCAGCCGCAGCTTCCCCTCCCTGGTGCTGGCCTGGTCCAGCCTGAGATGCACCTGGCAAAGCCGTGGCTTCCATTTAGCTCTGCCGACCTGTCCTGGCCGATCCAAAGCGGCACATGGATCAGCTGTCACTTTTCGCTGGTGGTGACTCGGCCGGGCCCACTGCATTCTGAGCAGCATGCAGGGAAGCAGCAGCTGGGCCGGCTTTGCTGCGTGCTGCCCGGCCGGGTTGGCACAGATGAGGAGAAGCAGTGGCTGAGTCAGCTCAGCTGTGTGCTGCTTCCCCGCACTGCTCGGGACGGACCAGGCTGGCACCAGAGAGGCAAAGCCATGGCTGAGCCTGTGCTGAGCAGCATGCGAGCATACGGCACATGGCTTAGCTGCTGCTTCTCTTTTGCTGGTGCTGACCCAGCTGGGCCCATCCCGTCCTGAGTGCCACGCAACAAAGCCTGCCCAGCAGCTGCTTCCCTGCATGCTTCATGGAAAGCAACGGGCCAGGCTGAGTTAGCACTGGCGAGGAGAAGCGGTGGCTGAGCCATGTGCTGCTTGGGACTGGATGGGCCAGGCCAGCAGAGGTAAGTGCACAGCTGTTCCCAGAGCCATGGGGGGGCTCCTGCCATAGCCCAGGGGACTCCGCCCCACTCATGCTATGCCCATTGGCACAGAGTCTGAGCTGGGAGCCCCACAAGCCTGGCATTCTGCCCCTGCCCGGTGGCATCCTCTCGTGGGCAGGGTGGCTGTGCCCTATCCTACAGAGCTGTGTGGGTTATGCCATGCTCCACCTTGCTGCTAGGGGCCCAGCTGTGGCCCAAGTCTGTGGAGCTCTGGGGCAGCCCCTGCTCCCCTCCCCAGCTCCCCCTCTCCTCTGGCTGCCACCTTCCCAAGAGCCTGGCCAGCCTACCCGTGGTGCCTGCGCCTGCCTGTCTCCCTCTATGAAGTTTTATTTATTGTCACCATGTTTAGAATTTTTAAACAGCCTGGTATTTACCATAAATGTTTATGATTAATAATGCAGTGCATCCTGCTGTATTTACCCCCCCCCCCAACCCCCAGTTTTGTTTTTTTTTGACATGCCAGCACTCCAGTACCTTACAAGGTAGACATGGGGTTTTTTTCAGCACTCCGGCCAAAAAACGTTGCCTACCCCTGACATAGACCATGTGACAGAGTGTAACTTCCAGTTCCAAGGCCAGACTCCCCCCTCCCAAAAGGAGTGTTCTGGGGGCAAGGGAAGGGACTTCTGGCTACAAGATGGCAACAAGGGGCAGGGCTACCCATGCAGCCCTTGACAGCTTAGCAAAATTTCATGAAGCAGCTCTCCAGCTGAAATAATTGCCCACCCCTGGACTAAGGCTTTTATTATATTAGGAATAAAAAAGAAATAAGTCTGTCAAATTGGAGAATGTCATGGGGTGGTGGGTTTTTTGTTTTGGTCCTCGAATAAATGATTCCCTGTGACAGCATTCAGTAAATTCAGGTAGGGACCAGGAAGAAACAGAAGTCTCTCTTTTTTTTTTTTTTTAAAGCAAAAAAAGTCATAACACTGGAAAGCATGGGAGCCTTTTAAATTTAAGCCAGACTTTTTAAATTTATAGCAATACATAGTCAAAACATGCAAAGCAAATAGTGTACTGTAGAGGAGGCTTCTCAAAACAATGGGAAAAACTCTTTCTGGGTGTAGCTTGTCTTGGAGCTCCCTCTTTGCGTGCTTTTGGTCTTTCTAGTTTTAACAAAACAGATCTGATTTACATTTTGACACAATTCTAATTTCATCTTGGAACCTAATTTAATGCATGTTATACCTACGTTCTGTTACTGCAGTAGGAGGTAAAGAGCCAAGGTTTTAACTTGGCGCACATTTGCGGTGGACTGGTTAGCAAGGTGTGCAATATTGTTGTACACATCCGAGTACTTTTTATTTAATTTGTTGGGGTTTTTTGTGCATTTAAATCCTAGGAAGCCCTGCAAAGGATTATCTCCACTCTGGCAAACAAAAATGATGAAATCCAGAACTTCATTGACACCTTGAACCACACTCTAAAAGGTGTTCAGGTATGTATATCTATAAATGACTGAATGACAAACTTTACATTTATTTACATGTTGGGGGGAGAGAGTTCCCAGACTAACTTGATTTGCATTAGTTCTATTCAGTTTTTTTAAAGTTTGGTATGAAACTGCTTTTGATTCTTGAAAGTATAAAATGAAACCTGTTATACTTTGTTTTTGTGATTGATTCTAATATTCTAAGTTGAAGGCAGGTCAGTTCCCAGTTGTAAGATTGAAAGTTTTTTGGGGGGAGAAGAAAATACTATGATTTTAATTCAGGTTTGGGGAAATTTACCTTTTAAAGCTTCTGTTGTGGTGTGCAAACTAGGATTCAGGATAGGTGTTTCACTGAAGTCAGCCCATGTTCTTCTAAAAGTAGAAGAGTATTCTAGTAACTAGTACTGGATTTTGTTTCTTGATCTGATCAGATATTTATCTTTTTGTCTCCTTACTTCCCTGCCCCCCCCTTGTAAACTACAAATACATGTCAAAATTGATTCCTTTTTCTAGACTTTTGATTTTTATATCTGTTCTTCTCAGTATAAGACAAGCCTTAGAGTGGTGGCATAGTAGTTTCTTCTCTAACTTTTTTTTTTTTTTTTTTTTTTTCCTTTTGCCTGTTTTCTCTAAGTGCTTCTGGTTCAAAATTGTCTGTAACAAGCTAAATCCAGAAGCTTAGCTAGTTCCTTAAAACCACTTACGATAAAAATGTTCTACAACCATTTTGTTGGAAGAACTAGGTAATCATTATCTTTTATGAGCCTCTAGCCTTTTCTGTACTTGAGTCTTAATGAGGGGCTTTTCACATTGAATAAGCAATTGTTGCATTTAAATGCTATACAGACTTCCATATCTACCACTGCCAAAATATCCAAATATGGGTCCTCAGTGCTCTAAATGCTTCAGTCTGTTTAGAAGAGGATCACTGTAACCAACTACTAGGTTTTAATGCTTTCAGAAGATGGGATGGCATGAAAAAATGTGAAGTAATCATGTAAAGTGTATTAGGGGAAAATTTATAGTGCTGCTTATCTTTCAGTTCAGTCTGAAACTCTATTACAATCTTTTCCTTAGGCTAATTCTTCTAATGTGATTGCTGAGCTGGATGAGGAATTTGATGGTCTCTATTCTATACTAGATGAGATGAAGGAGAGTATGACCAACAGTATTAAGCAAGAACAAGCTCACAAAACTCAAGAACTTCAGGTAATTACTTGTTACTTATCTCTCTAAAGCTTTGCCATCAAGGGAAACATTTTTAGCAACTATTTTCAGCTTTAATCTAAAATAAAATTTACATCAAGTTATTTACAATAGGTATGCTTCTAGCTAAGGTATGTGTTCACCTTTTAAGATACTCGTGTGACACCCTCTCTCCCTTCCCCCCCCCCCCCCCCCCCCCCCCCCCAACCCTTCTCTGTAACCTGATGGCACTTTCCCGCCTCTCAGAGGTGCTGTTGTACATCTTCTCATTTAATGGAGCACTCCACAGGTTGTTTAGTAATAGTGAATCCTGCATTTGTGTGGGTTTGAGCCAGGTGACTCTTGAGGTCCCTTTCAACCCTTTGATTCTATGTACACGGGTCAAGTGATTAGAGAAGTTGCATTTGATGCTAGACGGGGAATGAAATCCAGGTTTCAGTTAACTCCCTGCTCATTGAACCAGCCTTGCTTCTCTTGTCCTCGAAACTTGAGGAGTTACTGATACATTCTACAATAACGTAAGTTGTTTTACTATGCATGTGTTACTGTAGTTGTACGCACTAGGCATATAGTATATTAAAAACAAGGAGGTTCTTTATCAGGGGACAAGACAATACTCCACGTTTATTGAGAGCAAAGAAAAACATTAAAATCACACTCACACTTGCTAAGGTGTTAGCAGTCTTTCAGTTGCTTGAGTCAGCTTATTGGCCAGCTAAGCTGAATGCGAGGAGGGAGCTGGGCCTCAGTCGGACCTGTACCGATGCTCCGTCATTGTGCAGAACAGACCCAAAGCTTCCATGTTCTCGCCCACCTCTTTTATAATAGCTGTCTCCCATGCAGGTCTATGGACCCTGCTGTGTCAGGGTGTTTGAGCTATGAAGTTTTTTTTTTTGTTTGTTTGTTTTTTTGGGGGGGGGGTTGTGTGTGGTTTTTTGTTGTGTGTGGTTTTCCCCCCCCCTTCCTTTTCTGCTGTATTGAGGCAGTTAAACATCCTTGTTGGCTTTTGGGGTGGATTTTTCTTGCTCTGGTTTCTGCAACCTTCAGCCTTGTCAAAACAGGAGGTTACTGCAACCTTTGGCCATTGAAGGATTACAGCAGAGTTATAAACCTTGCCTCTGTTTATCTTCATTCTTCGCCTGGCACAGACCGGATTATTGCTCTTTCAGAGCCCTTTTTTAGCATATTTTTTTAATATGGTAACTTGTTTGTGAATACACAACATACAGTGCTTTTTCAGTCACTCTACACTCACTCATTCATCCATACATTCTAAATATTATAAAGAAACTCTTATTTTGATAACTGACTTGCATTTATTTTACTTTTAAAAAGCTAAATGATATGACAATAGAATGATTATAAGTGGTTATATAAAAACAAAATCAACTTTAACGTGACATAGTCCTGATGCTAAATCTGAAGTCTGGGGATAACTTTTTTTTTTTTTTTTTTTTTTTTTTTTTTTTTGAGAAGTTCCCAGCATGCAGAGGAAAAAACCAAGAAGGGTTAACTGGTTAATTTCATAGTTATGCTAAAGAATAATGGAGCTGGAAGAACACTCTGGATATTGGCATCTAAACAAGCATGCTAATACCTCAGCTCATGTTCCAGAGTTTCTGCAATGCTGGAAGTAATCTAACTAGAGCACCTGATAGCTTTCTTTGGTGTCTACTCATAGTTCTCTGGTTGTAGTTTATAGAAGTGCTCAGGTTGAATTATAGGAACAGACATCCAGAGTCTTGACATCCAGGGTTTTTTCTGTGTGCTTTACAAGCATAACTTTTTCCCATACTAAATGCAAGAATTGGTTTCATCATGAAGATGGCTAACGTTCTGGACTAGAAATTGTTTGTGTCTCAATTCCTAGTCCTGTCAGACTTCCTATAGGACCTTTAGACAAGTTCATCTTTGCCTTGGCTTGCTATTCATATTGGAAATATTTTTGTCCTTCAGATGGTGTATGGGTGAAATAAGTCTAAGCAGTTTATAAACATTGGGTGTTTTTTTTGGGGGTGGGGGGGAGGGAATATGGTGAGAGCAAGTGGTACATGATTGCTTATGCCTATTTCTTACCTAATTATAGTAATGCTTCATTAAATTTATGTATCATCTCTGGCAGTTGCCAGAACCAGTTAATAAGGTGGATGAAACTCTGCAACAGACAACTAAGGGATGACCTCTCAGTAGAGCTTTTTCCACATCTCAGACTGTCTGTTGCTTAATTCATGCCCTGAAACAAGGCAGGCTTTTATCCTTTTGTAATTCTTATTGACAGGGATCCTGGTTTTTCTCTGATTTTAAAAAATCACAAATTCTCTGACAAAAATCGCACCAAACCCCCAAAATCCATTATTAAAACTTTAAAAGCCCCCCTGCTGGAGGGGGCCCCCAGCTGCCAGGGCTATGGGGCCAGGGACCCAAGTTTGCAGCTTCCTGCAGAAGCAGCATGGAGCCAGCTCCCCCGCTGCTGCTGCCTGCTTGGGTGGGGCTGGGGCCAGCTCCTGGCTCCCCCCAGCCCTGCTGATGCCCCCCAGCCATGACCTGTAAGCCCCACTTACCTCAGGCTCTAGGAGCAGAGTGAAGCTGAACTGAGCCAGCTGTGGCTTACTGAGTCTTGTGCCCTCCCCCTCTCCCTCCAGGCAAGGCTGGGGGTTTCTCTCCACGTTTGCAAACAACTCTTGCAGGCTGGAGCTCAACCAGCCTGCAAAGCTCTTTACAAAAGCAGGGAATTCGTGGTTTGTTTGTTTGGGTTTTTTTTTTTGTTTTGTTTTTTTCCTCTGTTTTTTTCCATGGGAAACAGAAAACCTGGATTCCTGCTTATTGGTCACAAGGGAGTGAATATCATAAGTTAATTATGCATTTAGCAACTTTTTCTCATGTGTGGCTCTTATTTTTCATGCTATTCATCAATTTGTCCCTTTATGATAGTAAATAAGAGGTCTCGATTGACTTTTCTGCAGACCATTTGTTTTTACATACTACATTTCCTGTCTAAATCCAAAACTTCTCTACAGATTTGGGTTTTGGAAGCATTAAAGTCAATATGGAGAAGTTCTGGGAATCTTAACAAATACATTTAGTAATATGTCTGGCAGCATTAGCAGATTAATTTGCCCAAACAATCAGAGTAATGAAGTCTTTCACCATGATCCACTCTGCAGAATGAACTATCGGTGTCCTCAAAATCCTGTTAAATAAATGCCTTTAAGTATGGCTATGGGGTCAGCAGATTCAGGCTACTTTCCGACTTAAAGAAAGGGATGGGTTAAATATACAGTGAACAGCCAGAAAGCAGCAGCCTTTCTTATGAGGAAACCCCCAGATTATGCAAATCTGGCAGTTTTACTACTTTGTTACCTTTAGTTCTGCTAATCTCTGCACATTCATTATGAAAAGTAACACAGTATTCCATGGACTAGCATGATTTAAGTACCATTTTCCCACTCTTTTTACGAATAAGAATGTTCTGGTTTATTCTAAACTGCAGTAAAATTGGTGGGGGGGGGGGTTCTCATTTGAGTTATTCACAGTATCTTGGAGGTCTCTATTGGCTGGCTAGTTTGGAATTCTGCACTTGTGAATGGATTAATGCACAGCAGAAGGAGAGAACTAATTTACCCTTACTAATTTGAATGTCATCTGAGACACTGCTACCTGGTTGTTTACTCTCAATAGGTCTTGCTTCCTTCACTATTACACTTCAAAATCTTGCTGTCTGCAAGTTCTCTAATATTGACTTTTTAAATACGTATATTAAACATTGCTTTTGAGCATGGGGACAAGCCAGTGTTATTTCTATCCTGGTTTAAAAATTATTTTGTGGTGGGCTTGTTGACTAGCTTAATACCTGTTTGTTTTTTTTGAAGTCCAAACTTAGTTTTTTAAAAAAAATTCTGCATCTGTCTCCTTTGGTTGATGTACTTGAATTCTAGATCTTTGGCGACTTATTTTCCTGGCAGCTATACCAGCTTATTCATGTTATGTCATGTTCATAAAGTACTTTGTAGGATTGTTTTCAGCTACTTTGCTTAGTACTGAAGTAAGGATTGTAGGTCTTTGGATCTCAGGAGTAACAGTAATTAATTACTCTTACGTAGATGGGGACAACTTGGGAACCTTGTCCATAAAAACAGTCTTTTTATTATTTTTAATAAAATGGCTGTATTGACTCTATTGAATAAGCTGTTTGCTTTCATGGCTTAAGACCTGGGAGATACAGCAGGAACAACCAAGTTAACTTGAATAGCCTTCCTTTCAAATGGAAACGGTGTAGCCCAGTGACATGTCTGCAGCCTGTTACCTTCCTTGTCATGTCTGTGAAGGGTCAACTACAAGTGGGATTAAGCTAGAGTTTTGGGCATGGTATACGTGAGCATCTGTCATGTCTTGATCACTACCTATCAGGGTACCTTTACTTCAGTGTCCCAAATCCATAAAGTGGTACCAGACAGTCTCCCTGAGATGTCTGCCCCTAAAGCTGGCAAATGATTGCTGGCTCCAGTTTCAGGCTACCTGTTACAAGCCTTAGGCCAGAACAGCTGAGTTCCTGCCCAATATGGGTAGCTTCTCTGGAGTGTCGGGTAGGAGGTGGGGCTTTCCACGTGGCCACGCTGGGACCAGGTAGGTGGTAGTTGTACCCATGTTGCCAGTGTTTTTCTCGGCACTCATGCTCTGTGGGTGCTGCTTCCAGCTGTTGGGGGGGGGGGGGGGGGGGGG